CTTGTGCTGGGGAGCTTTTTAGCTGGAGAGGTGGATGGGAGCTGCGTTGCCTCTACGAGGGAGGACTGTCCCCTCTGCAATGGGATCCTGCTGGTTTGGTGCTGTGGGTTGGGGATGGCCCGTTCCTCTGCAGGGTTTATTTGTTGAATTTGGCTTGGTGTCCTTGGGGTGGCTTGAAAACCCTTTCTTCTGTGCACCTATTAGTCTCTCTTCTGAGTGTACTTATTTTTCATCTCTCTGATGGACCTGCTCCATCCGTGGTGGGGCTGAGAGCTGGGAGAAGTCTGAGCCTCTTCTCTCTGCTCCTCACCTGTCTTTAGTCGTCCTGGGTGAAACCCGCAGAGGGTTAAGCTCCCTGAGCTGAAAACTGAACTAGAGCCACCGTCATCCCGCTGCCCTGAGCTCTGGGGCCAAGGGGACCCCAGCAACGTGCAGGCAAATGCCCCGGGGACCGGGCAGCTGCATGTTGAGATGGTGGGGTGTGGAGTCCTGGACACACACGCTGGCTGTGCAGAGGGGACGCGGCCCTGACACAAGGTGCTCAGCAGCACGTTTTGCTGGGTGGCTGCAGCACTGTGTAAAGCCCTTGCACCCTGAGTTCACTGGGAAGGTGCTGCTCAGCATGGGGCTGTTCCTGAGGACTCTTTCCAAGCCCCCATCCCAAATTCTACAGGCCATGCAGGTTTATCTGCCCAGGATGTTCCCTGTGCACTTTTCAGGTCTGTCTCAATGTATACGCCAGCCAGAAGCCCGTCAGTGCTGCCCTGGGAGCATCAGGACCAGCCCAACTGTTCCTCCTCTCTGAAAATCCTCCCCTCTGCAGCGAGGAGCTCTCTCCTGCTTGCTGCCAGGTCCTGCAGTGCAGCGGGGAAGGCAGCTGGAGGGCTGCCTGCACTGGCAGCGATGCCTGGGAAAGCTGGGATCAGCAGGATGGTGGATGGTCCCATGACCCTGGCCCCGCTCACAGCAGAGCTGATGGAGGCACCGAAGCTTCAGGAGTCAGCCAGTGCTTCCATGCAATCCCCCTGCCCCAGGGAGCATCTGGGCTTTGGGCTTATTCCCGGCTGCCAGTGAGAGGTGAGGGGGAAGGGACATGGAGTGGGATCCATGTCTCCTCACACAGACGGCCTTCCCCAGGGATGTCTGGGAATGGAACGAGGCTGAGCTTATGCAAAACAGATCGGAAAGGCTGGGCACCTGCTGGGGCAGAGGGCTCATCGAGTGGCACCTGCTTATCCTCGTCCCTTTGGGTAAGGAACCAACACTCGCCGGCCGCCCCTTGGGTTGGAAGTGCACCAGAGGCTGTGCTGAGAGCCCCTGGGGATGCCGTGCCTGATCGTGCTGCCAGGACAAGAGGTTTGCTTTAGTTCATCTGTGGTCCTTCTGAAGTCATCATCCTGTGTCCTCATCCTCTCTGCGGGGTAAGGTGGGGTGCAGAGCTGGCAGCTTGGGGAGCTGGGCTCAGCCTCTGGTGTGACACACTGGCACTAAGACTGTGGTCCTGCTGATGCCGAGTGCTGAGCAAATGGAGCAAGGGGCTCCTCTGGCCAAGGGGCTGGGACCAAAACCCAGCACTCCAACACAGGTCTACAAGAAAATACTCCAGGGATTTCCATGTGTTGACCAGGAGGCAGCTGCCAGGGTTGGCGGGGCATGAGCCATTTGGAGCCTGTG